AGTCCATTTACATTTATGGTTAATGTTATTATGTATGAATTTTATACTGCCATTTTGATGCTAAGTGGCTGTTTTGCCAGTTAGTTGTTGTAGATTCTTCATTATGTTGATGCTCTTTAGCATTTAGTGTGATTTTGGAATGGCTGGTACTGGTTGTTCCATTCTATGTGTAGTGCCTCTTTTAGAAGCTCTTGTAAAGCAGGCCTGGTGGTGACAAAATCTCTGAGTACTTGCTTGTTCACAAAGGATTTTATTTTTCCTTCACTTCTGAAGCTCAGTTTGGCTGGATATGAAATTCTGGGTTGAAAGTTCTTTTCTTTAAGAATGTTGAATATTGGCCCCCACTCTCTTCTGGCTTGTAGTGTTTCTGCCAAGAGATCTGCTGTGAGTCTGATGGGCTTCCCTTTGTGGGTGACCCGACCTTTCTCTCTGGCTGCCCTTAATATTTTCTCCTTTATTTCAACCTTGTTGAATCTGACGATTATGTGTCTTGGGGTTGCTCTTCTTGCGGAATATCTTTGTGGTGTTCTCTGTATTTCCTGCATTTGAGTGTTGGCCTGTCTTGCTAGGTGGGGGAAATTTTCCTGGATGATGTCCTGAAGAGTATTTTCCAGCTTGGATTCATTCTCTTCGTCCCCTTCTGGTACACCTATCAGACGTAGGTTAGGTCTTTTCACATAGTCCCACATTTCTTGGAGACTTTGTTCATTACTTTTTGCACTTTTTTCTCTAATCTTGGTTTCTCATTTTATTTCATTGAGTTGGTCTTCGACTTCAGATATTCTTTCTTCTGCTTGGTCAATTCGGCTATTGAAACTTGTGCATGCTTCGCAAAGTTCTCGTATTGTGTTTTTCAGCTCCTTTAATTCATTCATATTCCTCTCTAAGTTATCCATTCTTTTTATCATTTCCTCATATCTTTTTTCAAGTTCCTTAGTTTCTTTGCATTGATTTAATACATGTTCTTTTAGCTCACAAAAGTTTCTCATTATCCACCTTCTGAAGTCTAATTCCGTCATTTCATCACAGTCATTCTCCGTCCAGCTTTGTTCCCTTGCTGGTGAGGAGTTTTGGTCCTTTCTAGGAGGCGAGGTGTTCTGGTTTTGGGTGTTTTCCTCCTTTTTTCGCTGGTTTCTTCCCATGTTTGTGGATTTATCTGCTTGTCGTCTGTGTAGTTGCTGACTTTTCGATTGGGTCTCTGAGTGGACACCCAGATTGTTGATGATGAAGTATTTCTGTTACTTGGTTTTCCTTCTACCAGTCAAGCTCCTTCGCTGTATGACTGCTGAGGTCCACTCCAGGCCCTGCTTGTCTGGGGTGCACCTCTAGCAGCGGTGGCACAGCGAGGGATGCTACCAGTTTCTTTTTCTGTTATCTTTGTCCCAGGATGATGCCTGCCAAATGTCAGTCTTTTGGATATAGAGGGGTCAGGGAGCTGCTTGAGGAGACAGTCTGTACTTTATAGGAGCTCAATTGCTGAGCTGTGAGCTCTGTTGTTCATTCAGTGCTGTTAGGCTGCTATGTTTGATTCTGCTGCAACAGAGCTCATTAAAAAAAACCCTATTTTTCTCAAATGCTCTGTTTTGGGGGCTTCGGGCTCTATATTTGGATGTCCGTTGAGGTGTCCTGCCCAGCTAGGAAGGAGACTAGCCACTGTTTGCCTGCCGAGGCTCCGCCCTGCTGTTGTGAGGTTCACCCTATTGCTGCAGGCTCTGCTGTTCTGCTGTAGTCACCGCAACGCCCTGCAGTGGAGTCTCTCTGTTGTAGCGGCAGGCTGCGTCAGCAGTGGGCGTGTATCTCAGTAGGGACGGGTTGCCTTGGCAATGGCTGGCTGCCTCAGCAGTAAGCGTGTATCTCTGTTGGGGCGGGTTGCCTCGGTAATGGTAGACGCCCCTCCCCCACAGAGCTTCTCGGACCGTCTGCTCGGGATCGTTTGAAATCGCGGTTTTGTTCGTCCCACTGGGTTATCCCAAATGCTCTGTCCCTGCAATCCCCTGGGCTGGCCCACTGTCCAAGTCTCGTTCAGTCTCAAGTGCAGCCCTCTCCAGTCTCAGGTTGCCGGTTTAACAGAGCACCCGGACAAGCGGGCCCTGTGGGGAGTGCTGGGTAGGGCCGACTGCCGCCACCCTGGCTGCCGGCTTTGCCAGGCAGAAGTAATGCCTGGCATCCCTCGTCTCCTTTATACTTGGGAATTTCCCCGTTCTGTGGGCAACAAAGATCAGTCTGGAAATGCAGCTCCGACTCACCTCTCCGAGCATTCAACGAGAGCTCCAATCCTGGGTTGTTCTCACATCGCCATCTTGAGGCCTCCCCCTATTCGTGTTTTCTTACATGACTACGACTTCAGTGATTCACGATACCAAGACCACTAGGATTTCATCGCATGGCTAACTGCATACAATTTAATCTACCCCTAGTCACCAAGAGCCAACTGATTGAGTCATTCAAAATAAATTTAATTTAGAAACTACCTATCTGTCTCCATCTATATTGTCAATGAGTGTTTTAATGATCTTATGAAAGGAATTAGGAAGAAAAACAAAGACTCTATGCAGAAAAGAGCTTTAAGTGAAGACTGTACACATACAATTCTTACTTCCAAGAACAATACTGAGACTTGCTCCTGGAAATAGCAATCATGACCCATAAGCACTGGCATCCCCTGGGTGAGTGCCTACCAGAAACACAGAATCACAGGCTCACTCCAACACAAGGATGACAATGTGTCCGTTAACAAGATTCCTCAGTAGGTCGAATGCACATCAGTTGAAGGACACCAGCGTAGTCCCTCGAGGGGTCCTGAGGACGAGGCCAGCCCTAGATGTGCCGCAGAACCAAGGGCCCTCGGAAGGGTTTAGTTTTGGGTGTGCTGTGTTCATTTTCTTTCTGGAGGATTGACCCTTCGAGATAGGCAGGTGATGAGGAGACCTCCGGTTGGGAGTCAGACCCCCAAGACACTGAGGCTTTAGAAACAAGGAGCAACATAAAGAACGCGGGGCCCCACAGCCCCTCAGCTGGGCCAAGGACAGAGACCCACCAGAATGTAAGATGACTAAAGAGAAACTGCGCGGGAGTGCACTGGCCACACCCCTCGTCAAGCATATAGCGCTAGCACACGCACACACACCTGAACAAACACGGAGACACACAGACATACACGTGCACACACACAGAAGCACACAAGTGCGCGTGCGTGCACACACGCATGCACAGACACAACACAAACACACACACACACACACACACACACACACACAGACATACACAAAGAGACTAAGCCAAGCCGAGAAATACAACAGTCGCAGGCAGCTCCTTAGGCTGTGGCGTTCTGCACGCTTCCGGGATTCCCCTCGGTGATAGAGCAGCCCCGCAGCGCACGGGCAGACCTTACCTGCAAATCCCAGTAGGGACAGCTTTCAAGGAGACGCACCCCAACACCGTCTGGGCGGGCCTGAAGCATCTGGGGGATCCTTGGGGATCCATCGCCCTGGGCATCCCTGAAGCTCCGCTGGAGCTTTTCTCAGCCTGGTTCCGCCAAGCCGAACTCCGGAGATCGCGGGACCGTGGCGACCATCGCCGTGAGGTGGGGGCCGTCGCCCAACGGTGAGGCACTGCCGCAGTGGGCGCCTGCTTTTTCAAGCCGCTCAGACGGTTCCCCAGGTCACGGAGGCCGTCACTGTGACGCGAGCCCCGGCTCAGCGCTCGCGCCTGTGACGCCCCCCTGCGCATGCGCATTGGCGGTCCCGGATGGCGGGCCGCAGTGTCCGTGCTCCCCCGCGGCAGCCGCACAGGACAATGCTGGAGGCGGTGCCCGGGGCAGTCCCGGGGAACGAGGCTGCCTGCCACCAGCAGCTCAGGAGACGGACAGTTCTGACCTCCGTACCTCGTCGAGACGGCTTTCCTGCTCTGATGGGCTGGAGGAGGAAAGCGATTCACATCGTGACGTGGGCACTCGGGACTGCCCTCACCATTGCAACCCCGACTGCTTGGAGAGCGTGGGCGGACGTCGGGTCCCATCGGGCTGGTGACTCAGTCTGATGAGGTGTGGCGGGGGTCGGTGGACCCCAGAAACTTGGGTCTGAGACCCTCCAGGAGGGTGTCAGCAGAACATTTCTCTGCTCGGTGAGCTCACTGCCCCCCTTGGATACTGGCCACACACCAAGGCGCCCTGCCTTGGTCTCCAAGTCCAGGGACCCCTGCTTGGACTCAGCACTGCTGTTGGAGAAGGCCCCACCACAGCAAGCCCGGCCTTGCAAAGCCGCTGAGACGGTGCCCCAAGCCAAGGTGGCGGGCACTGTGACACGAGCCCCGGGCACAAGCATCGCGGGATCCTGAGAGTTCAGAAAGAAAGAACAGCAATCCCAGCGTGAGGCAAAGTTGGGAACACCTGGAACTGGCCTCCCATGGGTGCAGACCAGGCGGAGAGAGCATCTCAGAAGCTTTTCGGGGCGATTCCAATCCCGAGACGGGTGTCCTATCATGCCGCTGAGTACGCCCAAGAAAGCCAAGCAGAAAATGCTAACAGAGCTTAGTCACTTTATTGTTTGGTTAGAAAACCTCTTATTCTTGGTACAACGTGTTTAGATCACATCACGTTCCTTGGCTGTATACAGAGAAGTTTGTCAACTTTCCTTGTCAAAAAAGACAGATCATTCATTCTGTTACAAATGCAGATTGTTGCATTTTTATTGACACCTAAACCCAGAGTGTAACCATCTCTTGGAGGTCAATCCGTGGCTGACATCTTTTTCTGAAGTAGTGTTTCCGTTAAATCATACTTTAATAAAGGCCCTACACTGCCATTAGGTTTCACTTGTTTTCTGTGATTAGCAAATCATCAGCATGGCACCTTCATCCCGTCAAGAGCAAGTTTGAGCAACCAGCTTACTTGACAAGGTTTTCATTGTCTCCAGTTCCCTTGCATGTGGCACCTTCAGTTTTTCAATATTCATCTTAGGGCTTCTTTTGAAACACAGACCGTATTTGTCTTCCCTCTCTAGGAACTCTTTCCTGCTGTACAAGGGCTGAGGAAAGAAAACAACAGAAAACATGACAAGGATATAAGGTAACCATTTGAAGAAAGAAAACTTCTCAAAGGTAAGGCTGTCCAAAAGTGTTTCACTTTTTCCAACCTCATGGGTTTTCTTGTTTTTTTATTTCCCCTGCAGGAGTGAAGTTGTTTCCTCTTCTCCTTCTCTGGGAAAGAAAAATCTAAACAAGGTCTAATGTTTAATTATTGATAAAAATAAATTTCCTTTGTTAAATATGATTGCTAAAGTAAAGTGCCTGAAAAATTATCTCTTTCTCATTAATACTCTTCTGGACCACTGCATTTTGTGACCGTTTATTTGACAGGAAATAAAAAGTAACAAATTAAATATACTTTACACATTCTTCTGTAAATGTCCATCATTTGGATTTTTTCAGAGCATGTAAGTGTTCCTCAGTTATCACATATGACTTCTATAACTGAAATGCTAATCCTGCGATGATACTACACACATTGTTTGCCCACATGTATGGAGATGCATTCGTGTCTATGGAAAGTAATACTTTTTCAGCAACAAACAAGGAGCAGAAGGAAAAGGTCTAACAGCTTCTAAGTCCTAGTTAAGGTAAAACCCATTAAAATGCCACAGGAAAATTCATTTAAAACTAATTCAGGTGCCATTTCTGTCCTGCAGTTCAGAACATATTTGCCATTTCATGGCATGCAAACAGTTGTTTAAAAACACTTTAGGTACCTGAGTGTTTGCAGCCAATATGTTAGAAATCTCCACCAATCACAGCACAGCCTCTGTATAGATGTTGCACTTCCCATAGTCAGACCACTGTTCCCTAGAGACTGGAAGAGAAAGTAGGCGCCGCTCCAGAAAATTTCTCAGACAGCTGAGATCAAGGAACATTCCCATGCTAGATTCGGTACCAAAAGTTTCTCGACACCAACACATGGAACGATCAATATATTCGTGTTTTTTTACATGACTACGACTTCAGTTATTCACGGTACCAAGCCCACTGGGATTTCATTTCATGGCTAACTGTATCCAATTTACTTGTCATAACCAAGAGTCAACTAATTCAGGCATTCAAAAGTAATTAACTTTAGAAACTATCCGTCTTCATGTATTTTGCCATTGAGGGTTTTAATGATCTTATGAAAGGAATTAGGAAGAAAAACAAAGACTCTATGCAGAAAAGAGCTTTAAGTGCAGACTGTACACGTACAATTCTTACTTCCAAGAACAATACTGAGACTTGCTCCTGGAAATAGCAATCATGACCCATAAGCACTGGCATCCCCTGGGTGAGTGCCTACCAGAAACACAGAATCACAGGCTCACTCCAACACAAGAATGACAATCTGTCTTTACGAGAATCCTCAGTAGGTCGAATGCACATCAGTTGAAGGACATCAGTGTATTCCCTCAAGGTGTCCTGAGACCGTGGCCATCTTTAGATGTGCCGCAGGACCAAGGGCCCATGGAAGAGTTTGGTTTCGGGTGTGCTGTTCATATCTTCTTTTTGGAGGATTGACCCGTCGAGATGCGAAGGAGATTTTGTGTTTCCCGGGTGAAATGCACATTTTAGCGACACTGAGGCTTTAGAAACAAAGAGCAACCTAAAGAACCCGGTTCGCCACAGCCCCTAACCTTGTCCCAAAGACAGAGGCGCAGCAGAACGTAGGCGGACTACAGGGGAACCACGCTGGAGTGCACTGGCCACACTCCTTATCAAGCAAACAGCGCTAGCACACGCACACAGACATGAACACACACGGAGACATACAAACAGACACGCACATGCGCACACACACGAACACACACACACACACACACACACACACACACACACACAGAGAAACTAAGCCACGCGGAGAAATCCAACAGTCACACGGAGCTCCTGAGGCTGTGGAGTTTTCTCTTCCGAGAAGCCCCTCATGGGTAGAGTATCCCTGCAGCACACAGGCTGACCTCACCTGCAAATCCCAGTAGGGACAGCTTTTAAGGAGACGCACCCCAACACCGTCTGGGCAGGCCTAAAGCAACTAGGTATTCCTTGGTGATCCATCGCCCTGGGCATCCCTGAAGCTTTCCTAGAGGTTTTCTCAGCCTGGTTCCCCAGAGCCGGACTCCGGAAATCGCGGGACCGTGGTGACCATCGCCGTGACGGGGGGACCGTCGCCCAACGGTGAGGCACTGCCACAGTGGGCCCCTGCTTTTTCAAGCCACTCAGAGGGTTCGCCAGGACACAGTGGTCGTCACTGTGACGGGAGCCGGGGCTCAGCGCTTGCGCTTGTTACGCCGCCTGCGCAAGCGCATTGGCGGTCCAGGTTGGCGTTCCGCAGTGTCCGCGCTTCCCCGTGGTAGCCGCACAGGACAGTACTGGAGGCCGTGCCCAGGGCAGTCCCATGGAAGGAGGATGCGTGTCAGAAACAGCGCAGGAGCCCCACAGTTCTGACCTCTGCAGCTCTCTGAGCCGGCTTTCCTGATTGGATCTGCTGGAGCAGAAGGGCGATTCACATCCTTAGGTGGGCACTCGGGACTGCCCTCACCATTGCATCCCGTATGGCTTGGAAGTCGTGGGCCGAGGTCGGGTCCCATCGGGCTATAGATTCAGTCTGATGAGGTGTGTCGGGGGTCGGTGCACCCCAGAAACGTGGGCCTAAGACCCTCGAAGAGGGTGTCTGCGGAACATTCCCCTGCTCTGTGAGCTCACTGCCCCCTTTCGATATGGGCCACACACCAAGGGTCCCTGCCTTGGTCTCCAAGTCCAGGGACCCCTGCTTCTCAGCACTGCTTTCCGGAGAAGGCTGGACGAAAGGAAGAGCAGCAAACGCAGCGTGCGGCAGAGGTGGTAACTCCTGCAACTGGCCTCCCATGGGGTCTGATCCTGTAGAGAGAGCATCTCTGAAGCTTCTCTGTGCTACTCCAAGCCTCGGGAGCTGCCTGCGACTGTTGGATTTCTTTGCCTGTCTCTCTTTCTTTCTTTCTTTCTTTCTTTTTCTTTCTTTCTCTCTCTTTCTCTCTCTCTCTCTCTCTGTGTGTGTGTGTCTGTATGCGTGTTTCTTTCTGTGTGTGTTCATGTGTGCTTGCGTGTGTGTATGCATGTGTTTGTGTGAGAACTGTATTCAGGGCACGGAGTGTGGCCAGTGCACTCCAGCACGGTTTCTCTGTAGGCCACCTACATTCTGGTTTGCCTCTGTCCTTGGCCCAGCTTGGGGCTGTGGGGCCCCGCGTTCTTTATGTTGCTCCTGGTTTCTAGAGCCTCAGTGTAGTGGGGGTCTGGCTCCTACCCCCAGGACCCCTAATCCCCTGCCCATCTCAAGGGGTCAGTCCTCCAGAAAGAAGATGAGCATGGGACACCCAAAACCAAACTCTTTCAAGGGCCCTTGGTTCTGCGGCACATCTAGAGCTGGCCGGGTCCTCAGGACCCCTTGAGGGACTACGCTGATGTCCTTCAACTGATGTGCATTTGACCTACTGAGGATTCTTCTTAAAAGACAGATTGTCTTTCTTGTGTTGAATTGAGCCTGTGATTCTGTATTTCTGGTAGGCACTCATTCAGTGGATGCCAGAGGAGGGCTTCAAGTAGCAACCCGGTCTGTGCTTTGCTCAGGACAAAAAAGCTCAGAAAGCCTGTGATGAATGAAAGCCTTAGTCCCAACAGCACTGCATGAGGGACCAGGAAAGCAGCAGCCTCATAAGCCACAGTGTGGGGCAGCCCAGGCTGACACTGTGAGCTGTGGGGCAGGGTATTGTGAACTGCAGGATGGGGCATTGTGAGCATATGGCTGGGATCCCCATGGGCCAGTGGGCTTCAGTCTGGAGGTGACTCCAGAAGGAGGAGCAGCTCCCTCTGTTTTCTCTTCAGGCAGCTGTTGTGTCCCTTCACCATTTGTTGGGTTTACAACCTATTTAAAAGCCAGATGTCTTCATCCTTCCAGACAGGTCAGCTCAGGAGAGGTGGCGGGGTGTGGACCTCAGCCCGAGCCACAACCAGTGCCCAGCTGTGGGGAGGGCAGTTGAGCAGTAGGCAAGACCATCTCTGCAGGTGCAGTGAAGTCCCAGCATAGAGCAGCAGATGTGAGCTACAAGCTAAGTGCAGGTAGTGGCAGAGAGGAGTAGAGGCACCCCACGGGGAACACACTGACCTGTTGTGTGTGCCCCAAGAGGAGCTGGCACTGTGGGAATGTGTGATCCTGTGAGTCTGATATCTGTGAGGCAGCAGCTGGGAACACACCACCAGTATCACCAGTGCCTGCTGCTGTAGAGTCTACTGAATTGGCTTTTGAAGCTAATAAGAACCTCCATGTACACCACATCCATGACTGAGAGATGCCAGAAGGTAAGGAGGTGACAGATGCCATTTGCCCTTGGCACGCCTTTGGCTGCCACTGTCCTCAGGTTCCCCTAAGAGGTATCCCCCACTTTGGCCTCCTTCCTGCCTGTAGTCAGCTTTCCCAGAGCTGGGCACCAGGATCAAAGGCTGGCTCTGTGTTGCATTCCCACCCCTTAGTCTTTCCTCACTGGGTCCAGTACGTTTCTTTTCTCACTACCTAAATGTCCAGTTCTTGCTCTCTTGTCTCATTCTCCCAAGCGGCATGGGACACCCCCCACTTTGTGCCTCTTTCTGTTTGTAAGTATTTATTATCCTTTGGCATAACAAGCATTGTATGAGGATTTTTTGGTATATTCCCAACTCCGTTTCTAAATAAGATCTCAAATACCCAATTTTCCAGTACCCATCCCATTCTCTCCGTTTACATATCCGGATGGTACCTAAGTAATGGAACCCGGTAAGTGCCCAAGTATTCCCTTTCTTCCATTTATTAGAGCATGAAAGAAATAATATTGATACTAATACTCAGGACAATTTATACCCAAATATTTTGGAATTTCCTATTTAAATTCAAAATAGAAACTGTCATGAGAAAGACTATATGGTTTTCTTAATAGGTTGTTTTAAGTCACCTTGATAGAAGCTGCTGATTCTAACTATAATTTGAACACAGGAAAAAAGAAAAGGAAGGGTGCCTACAAATAATTGGAAAAGATGTAAAATGTTGCTGTCAGGGCTGCAGAAAAAATTAACAT